GATACAAAAAAAGAAGTTGCAAACTGTTGGTTTCAACAGGAAGGTGCACCTACGCACAACGCCCTAATCGTACACGAATACAATATATTGGAGAAATAAGAAATGTCTGACAGGTTTCCTCGCACGATTAGGGCTTTGCTGTAACCAACAATTTCCAACTTATAAATAAATAAATAAACTTTTGTATGTATTGTAATTTAATTGCGCAACTTTTCCCTAATTTGACTATCTTCTATGGTCTTCGAGATTCCCATGATATACTTATCTTGGACACAGTGTACATTGTATATACAAATATTCGACAATTTTTAAAAGTTTTTCGTGCCGAAGCTCATTCATACCTCAAAGCTCAAAAAGTACCCACACAGGCAAATTGGAATATAGATCAGTCAAAGCTAAAACTAATGCCAAATGAATTTTGGGTCTCAGTCCTCAGAGGTCAACTACCAGGGTCAGAGATCTGAGGATGTCATTAGGTCGTGTAATCATGTAAACAAAAATTGGGCGGGTGAGATTTTTTCGAAGAGCTTCAAATGTTTCGTTTGAGAACTGCGCCACCGAACTTTTAGCGACCCAAATGACGATTGAGGCGCCAAAACCAATGGGTGCAAAAGGTTTTTTTCGAAATTTTTGTTAGTAATCTTCAATTAAATTGTTGATTAAATAATACAAAAACAAAATGTAGTCAATAATTTGAATTTAAAACGCAACGAGAATAGAGCGAGTGAATAATCAAACGCGATCAGATGTTTAAAGGGCGTCGTTCTGGCGATGTAGGATCGCTTTACAGGCGTCGAGACGGGTAAATTTAGCTCAAGGTCCAACCGATTACTCTCGTCTAAATCGAGTCGACGTTTTTAAAACGGCGCGATTATAGCGGCGAAAACTTTACATAAAGGGGCCGCAAATCAGCTGGTCTTAATCTGTAAAAAAGTTAATAACCTTGCCATGTTGCCGGTTCAAATGTTTAAAATGTGTCTATTTAAGGTAACCTTGAACCATTCTAGGCGGCCGGATACAGTCATAACGAATTTTTCTCTGCTACACAACTAAGCGCCGCTTTTGCATGCCTTCTATAAATAGACGTCAGAAATGTGACCCGAATTTCAAAATTAGTCGCAATTTTTACCTCTTGCGTTCACCTCGACCCCTTGGCTAGTGCGAGAATATCGATTTATGTACTAGGTACTTGTTATGAAATGTTAGTAAGTCGGTCATCGTTCATTCCAAACAGACTTGATCTAATTACCGTATTTATTAAGTACTTTAGACCCTTTTTCAGATTATGTTAACCTGATATTATTTTAATTAGAAAAACCGTTTTCGGTGATACCAATAATTAACAAAAGTGGAATTTATATATTATACCCAGCAAATTTATTAACATAACACTACGAGAATTATTAAAAACTGACCGATTATTTTAAGGCATCGCTAATTATATAGCGAATATGATTCGTTTCCGGTCATCGACGCCACGACGGCGCCGGTATCTTACAATATTAATATAATACACATTGCACATAGGGGGCATTGATATTGAAAGAAATATAGTAAGATTAGATCGTATTAAAAGATTCCAATAGAGCTACTCAAAGTTTTTAAAGATTCCCAAAAATTGCATTACTGATCCAAAGGGTTTCCAAAACGATTTTCCAAATGTTTCTAATATTTGAGAAGGAATCGCTAGATTAAGAGCTTAAAAATACGATTTTCAGGAAATTGCCGATAAATGTGTGTTTCAACGATTATGGGAACATTGCTGATATTTTTTGGGGCCAAAATCCCGATTGGAAAAAATACGTAATATTGTGATTTTATAATTTTTTTGAGGTTACTTTAAGCAAAACACAGAAATAAAACACACTTTCTCATTTCGACTTTTATAGTTTTACAAGTTTAATAGCAGTTCCAATATCGATACCGAAGTGATTATTTGTGAAGTTCGCGCGCGTATATGATAAATTTACATGTTATAAATTTGTGTAGACTGTTATATATAAATGTATTTATTACTGATTAATTGTAAATAAATAAATCTCTTAATTAAATTTATGTTAGAATCGCAAGGATAAAATTTAAGTTTACTAGAAATCCAAAATTTAACTTTGGCTCATTCTGTATGGTGTATATGAGTGAAACTTGAGGGTAACCACTGCCATTTATAAAACTAAGAAGATATTGAATTGGGCATTCAAAAAATTTTCCTTCCCTCAATCATTCACATTGACCGGTGTGAATAATCGCCGCATTAATTACTTTGACCGTAGTCTATATATTATGTTTAGGTATCCATGGTTTTGAAGGTGTCAACTGGGTCACACTCAGTGGCGTATTTCCGGGGTTGAGTTATCATCATAGCTATTAGGTATTTAGGTAATACCCCGCTATCCGCTCCGCCCACTTTAAAATAAAGGCAATAATATATGTATAGGTATATGTAGAGAGCAATTTTGGTTTTGGTTAAAGTCTAAAGTCACTAAAATCTAAATATTCTGTAGTATTCAGTATTCACTATTCAGTGAGTGATCAGTGTTGGCAGTCAACGATTTGGCTATTCGGCCTCGATCGGCAATTCGCTACATTGATGCCCAAAATAACAAATAGGTATCAGGTACTTAGTACTGCTACTGAGGTGAGGTACCTGCGTCCTGCCTTTCACGAAATGACGAAAATAAGAATTTTAAATTTTAAAAACAGGAATTTTTTTTGCCCATAACTTTTGATTGAGACGTCTAATCGAAAAAGTACGAATCGTTTTGGATTCTACGCACCCAAATTAATAAGAAAAAGTTTTTTCCTGAGAAATTTTGGTGCAGTCGATTTTTGGTAAAAAAGGAAGGTTATACACTGCCTTTTTTTGAGCCCCGAAAAAAAATTGTCTCAGATCGACCCGGAAAAAAAATTTTCTTATAGAATGTGACCTGTAGAATCCATAATTTCAAACAGTTCCAAGATTGGGCTACTAGTTCAAAAGTTACAGCCCTTTGAATTTTTTTTCGAAATTGGTTTTCTAGTCTATAACTTTTGATTGAGAAGTCTGATCGAAAAAGTACGAATTGTTTTGGATTCTACGCACCAAAATTAATAAGAAAAGTGTTTTCCCGAGAAATTTTGGTGCAGTCGATTTTTGGTAAAAAAGGAAGGTTATACACTGCCTTTTTTTTGCCCCGAAAAAAAAATTGTCTCAGATCGACCGGAAAAAAATATTTTCTTATAGAATGTGGCCTGTAGAATCCATAATTTCAAACAATTCGAAGATTGCGCCACTAGTTCAAAAGTTACAGCCCTTTGAATTTTTTTTCGAAATTGTTTTCTAATCTATAACTTTTGATCGGAAACATGCCCATAAATATACCTATTACTCAAAGTTTTCGTTGACTAATTAAAGCAAAAGCAATAAAGGGGCCTGTCAGCAGTAACAAATAAAATACCGTTCTAATCTAATCTTTTTCGCCTGTACAATAATAAATAGAAGTGACTACCAGCATCAGCAACCTGCAACCCAATTTCTATTTCTTCCCCCCCCCCCCTTCTAGTACGTACTGGGTTAATGTATGTGCCACGAACTTGTTTAATCCCCCCCCCCCCCCCCAGAATACATTTCTACGTACGTCACTGGTCACACTTCCAGCAACGTAAATGGTAGATATTCGAGTTCGACTGTACGTAGACTTTCGGTGCTGTCTTGAAATTTGCCGTAATCCTTCGGAAATGGAAATTAGTTTTGGTACATTAATTTCCCCAAAAAAAGGTAAAGGTGCAATGGAAACGTATTTTGGTACATTGAACTCTGAGAGGCCCAATTTCAAGAGAACGTTGCGTGTTACCTTTAACAATTATAGATTTAAGTGGGGGGTACAAAAAAGGTGAAATTAAATAAAAAAATTATTTTCAGCCGCGTCAAGCAAGACGGTGAACCGCCGACGACAATGGAGGCGGAAAAGCGGATCCGTCGGGAAATCGCCAACAGCAACGAGCGACGTCGCATGCAGAGCATCAATGCCGGATTTCAATCTCTACGATCGCTTTTGCCACACCACGAAGGCGAAAAATTGAGCAAGGTAAGTGCGAAGTATCTGAAAAAAAAGTTGAACGGTTGTATCTTTAATTATTGTGTGGTCTAGACGTGTTGCCATTTGCATTCGTGCTGAAGAAAAAGAAAATCACTCGAATGGAACACGTGTTATGCGAAGGTCGCGAGTCTCTTGTTATTAAAAAATTAGCCAAAGAACTCAGGTGTCGAATCTACTGTTGAGCTGTTCTCCCGTTTAGCACCAGACGTTGCCGCCGCCGAAAGTAGGTCAGGGTATTTTTGTGTGCTCCATCAACCGCATTTGTTTACGATGGTGTGCCCTGACAAGTTCCGTAAATGAGGCCGAGGTCGTCTCGATTTATAAAAATCATTCAAAACCCACATTTTAATGACGGAGGACCTGGAGTTACCGGGGCTCCTGACTCATGCGAGCAACCTTCGGTAGGCCTCTTTTGGTCTAGACAAATATCAGCTGGTTTTATTAAAAATTACGCCCACCGTATCTCATATTTAAAAATACTTTTTATCGCGGATGAAGCGCCCTCTACGAAAAATAAATGCGATAACACTGATAATGGTCTTGTATTATTCAATCCTACGTAATAATGCATGGGGGTATATTGCGTGACACGACGGAAATAGTCTACTCTCATTATTTTTGGGGAAAAAATAGGTACTAATTATTTTTAATAGGATATTCTTGTAGCGTATTGACACACACCAAGACAGCTGCGAGTTTTCTGTGACGCACCTTGAAAAGGCCCACCAATATTTTGCTTTCTTTTGTCACGTAGAAAAGGCCCCCTCCAGGTTCATGCACAACTGCATTTTGTCGAAAATATACAAATGAAGGGATCAATCGACAAAAAACTCCCCCCTCCCCCCCTGCTTGTCAAGTCGGCAGGAAAGAAGGCCGATTCACATGTTCGCACGGCTATCAGTTGCGCGCTGCAGTTTTGCGCACTGCATTTTATCTATTGACCTTCTCAATGCACTTATATGCAGTTGTAGTGTAGTACGTTGCATTTTACGTGTAGGTACGAACATCGGACCTCTTTCTCTAACGCTCTCCTTTTACATCCGTCTCCTGACGTCACGTCTGGCTGGACTCCCGCCAGAATTCTACATCTCACCTACCCTATTTTCCAATAAAATATTTAATCCATTTATTTGGCAGCATCACGCTTGAAGGCCGTTTTAAAGATGCGTTCGTTAACCTTTTAATGTGTGCGCGAGTTTTAAAATTTCGCAAGACACCAAGACCCCAGCCTTTTCGATCTGTTGACGTCAGGCGAACGGAGGTTGCCATAGTAACCGCTTCGGCATTGATCCTGCTATCCCACCTCCACCCACCGTCTAGAGCCCGAAGAGCGGACCAAATCGTTATTCCCCGAAAATTGAACGGGTAGTGAACTTTCTCCCCCTTGTCCCATCCCCCTACGCAATTATGTTTTACGTCGCGACGCAATGAAATTTGTGGTTTGTAATCGGAGTAATTCCCTATTATAAGGAGTTGAATAAATGGGAGCACGTGGTCTACGCTAGAAATCATTAAAATCGGTCGTATGTGCGCACTTGCGGTAATCAGGCCGTATACTTATCTTTGTATCGGGAAAGAGGCGCCCGAATACAATTTTAGCGTTCCGACGCGGCGCTGGCCTTGCTAGGCGTCGGAACACAAAAGACTGCGTGACCGTCCTTGGTCGCAACTATATCGATCCCTTTAAATTTATACGTCGTACTAAAGGTCCTTATGATGTGTACGAAACACCTGTTTTGCTGAACAATATTGCGTCCTACGTTTCATAAGTGGTTAGGATGTAGGATACAGGAAGTAGCGATAAACGATTCCGGTTCCAAGGTCTCACACCGATTTTAATGGAGTCAATGACACCAGACATTAATAGCCCAAGAATATTAGATTCAGTTTAGACCGAAGGACTTTGGCCTAGAAAGGTGAACACTTGAATGCTACCCACTCCCACTGTCTACAAATCTCATTTTTACCAAGTGAGACTGTCCACCGTCAAAAAAAGCTTCAGGATGAATTGGCCTCCCACATTTTCTACAAAATAAACCACGCGTAAATTCCCCTAAGAAAATTGAGGAGACCGAGGAATCTGGAAGAAGACTTTAAAATTGTGAAGGAATGGAAAGGTCAGAAAAATCCAAGGAAGTAGATACATAGTCTGAAGGACGGAAACATCTGAAGAAACGGAGAAACCGAACAATTCAAAGAATGTGATTAACTCTTAAGAATCACAAAAAATTATCCAAAGAGTCAACAATTCTTTGGATCTCGAGTACCTCAGAAAGCAGGTCTCATTACAAACCATTTTGGAAATATTTCTCTGTCTGAACTAGATAAAAACTTTCCCGGGATTATCATTTGTTTAAAGTATTCTCGGGAAAACATCTCATTGGAAACCTTTAAATTCGCGAGATTCCCATGGTTTCTTCGATTAGTAATTCTTAGGTATCGGACATTATCCAGGAAATTTGTCCGATAGGTATTCTGGCACGATTAGGGCCTTGTGGGCGGGTGCCCCATCCTGTTGAAACCGTCGGTTTCCAACTTTTGTGTTGTGTACCGTACGTCCGTACATCATTGTATTCGTAATAAAAAAATGCTACTCAAAACAGTGTGTTTTTTTGCAGACCATGACCATGTGTTTTTTGTTTTTTTGTACCTATCTGTTTAAAGAATATCGTAAAAAATCAAAATCGGAAAAGCTCCCCATGAAAGCAGCTGGAAATTGGGTTGGAGTGAGTTGTCGGAAACTTGGACTTAAATTCAGCGTTTCAAAGGACACGATTCGGACCCAATCGAGCATTTACGCCTCTCAATTGGTGTACGATAATAGTTGGAAAGCAAAATCGGTCGATCAACTGAAAACTCGTGCCAAAAAAATTTATTTATTTTTTATTGAAACGAGACACCTGTCTATTTTGCAGAAATAAAAATTTATATTCGCTTCTTTCTATTTTCTAAAATGAGATCGACTTAAGGTGGGTTCATACGTTCCCGTTTCGTTTTAATGCCGCCGCGGTGCTACTTTCGCTCTCGGAGCATGCGCACTTACTTCTATAAGCTACAAACGTGCGTCTTTGCCGTAATGACAGGAGTTGGATCCGGAACCGATTGCATTTAGAAGCTTCTGACATGGAACCGGAACCGTTGTTTAAAAAGTTATGATAACCGGAACCGGTACCGTTATTATTTGTGCCAAATAACCGGTATTTTTCTGGAATCAAAGCTCGACTGCGACTGAGAGTCTTTGTACGCCACTGCCCATTTTAAAAAACTATAACTTTTTTGTGACTTTTCTTGTTTTTTCAATGAATAAACATTTGTTTAATTTTAATTTTTTTAACGCTCTTCGATTATCGTTAAACTAAGGTAGATTTAGACAGCTCATCTTTTTTTGGCGCCCCCTGTAGACCGCTGGCGTTTGACGGTCATTGATCCCTATATAAGGTCCCGAAACGTCAATAGCTAACTCTTTATATCAACCATAGTTATATAACAAAAATAAACCATGGTAAGATACGGTATGCCTATGCGCATGTGTTTATAGCTACTACAGGTATAGGCATAGCACAGCTGACTCGGCCGCCATGTTGGAGCCCACTGACACTGACGTTTGTAAAGCGTTCCATGTTTTGATTTTTTCAACGTTTATTAATGCTTTATTTTTTTTAAAATAATTAGTAATAATAGTGATAACGTTTATATTATTTTAATAAAATAATATAAACTATTATTACTAATTATTAAAACTACACCGTATCGTTCAAAAATGGAGACCTTCCTGCCTTTATTATACCTTAAGCTCAATTTTGACGTTACATTTTTTTTAGTAAAAAATGTTTGTTCAGGCTGTCGTTCAAAAAATGCAACGTCTAAATTGAGCTATACCCGAGATCTCTAGAGGCAATAAAAAGAACTTAAACTACATTTTTGAAATAGTACAGTTAAGGTGATACGTAGCTTTTCTGTTTTGTGGAATTTAAAAAAATTTAAATGCATCCAGTACGATTACTAAACCATCTTAATTTGTTGTCACCAGATTTCGAACAATTTAAAAGGTATCCAGTGCAATTTTGCAACTAATTATAATTATAAATCCAGTTTCAAAACCCACTGGTAATTGAAGCAGAAAACTTGCATAGATATAAAACGAGACATAAAATGTGCCCAGTGTAATTATACTACCAATAGTAAAAGAAATTTTTAAAAATCAACTGTTGACACACTAGACGTCCAAGGCTTTTCATTTGATTTATTTATTTCCACAAAAAAAAAACAGAAAAGGGGAAAAATATACATAAAAAAATGCAAATATTTAAAATGCGCCCAGTGTAATTACACCACCAATAATAAATACTTCAGCAAGATCTCGTTACCCGTGGATGTTTTGTTGGGAAATCAATCTTGCAATTTTTCTTGTAAATTTATGTAAAAGTATAACGTGTGACACGTCATTATTTTTGTCTTCTATCTCATTTCGCAAAAATCCAATACGGCAATACGGCGTCCATAAGAAATAAGAAAGTAGTACCCTAGCTTCTACATATAGGGTGTTATGGTAATGCGGATAACAGATTTAAATTCTCCAAAAAAAAGGGTGCCCATAAAATGCGCTAACGGAAACCGTCTTATTTCCGGCGGTTGAAGCTGAAGTTTGAATTTTTCGGTGATATGTCAGTTGTTTTCTAAGATTTTTCAAAAATTTCAAATGCGTTTTTTTAGTCACCAAAAAGGGACAACTTTGCCTCCATTTAACATAGGTACCTAAGTAACCGTCTCGCCGTTAAGGACTTAGATCATATATGTTAATATACAGAGTGGCCCAACGAGAAGTATACAGAGGGCTTTTAGGGTATTAAATTTAGAAATTTTGAAAAATCCTCGATCACGTCAATTTTGTATTCGAGGATTTGACAATTTTGTATTTGGAATACAAATCACGAACCCAAGTTTTGACCCCTCTACGTAGGGAGCTTAACCCCAAAAATTTTAAATGGAATCCTATGGCAAATGGCACATTATTTGAAAGCTAATTTAATCGTGATTACTAATCTGCTTTGCTTTTTATATTCTATTGATTCGTTTCGGAGATATTCGCATTTGAAATGGTTTTTTCCCCTGATTTAAGTCCTTTAGATTACTTCTTGTGGGGATATTTAAAAAATAAAGTTTATGCTACTCCGCCCGGAACATTACAAGGGTTGCGAGCACGTATAACCATAGTGTAAGAATAGAATACACTATGGTATAACTCAACAATTTCGAGCGATTACCCCTGAAATCTTGCAACATGTACGGCAGCGTTTTGAAGCAAATTTTTATTATTGCATGGAAGCAGGCGGGAGGCAATTCGTGCATTTATTGAAATAAATGTTGTGTGTTTAAAGTTATTTGTTGTTTTTTGCACAATTTAAACCTTTTTTAATACAAGGTGACTTAGATCGCATTTGTTTTGGATTTTTTAGAAAAAACCATTTCAAATGCGAATATCTCCGAAACGAATCAATAGAATTTAAAAAGCAAAGCAGATTAGTAATCACGATTAAATTGGCTTTCAAATAATGTGCCATTTGCCATAGTATTCCATTTAAAATTTTAGGGGTTAAGCTCCCTACGTAGAGGGGTCAAAGTTTGGGTTCGTGATTTGTATTCCAAAAGTTGTCCCCCTCGAATACAAAATTGACGTGTTCGAGGATTTTTCGAAATTTCTAAATTTAATACCCTAAAAGCCCTCTGTATACTTCTCGTTGGGCCACTCTGTATATGATCTAAGGTTACGGAGATCCCAATGGTGACCCACGAATTTGAACCACCCTGTATATGGTGATCATGAAAATTAAGTGCAGATTCCAATGTAATCTTACAAGTATGGCCGAATGTATATTTTTCAACTCACAAATTTTGGACAAGAGACGTAAAATTATTTACAGAGTGAGAAAAAAAAGTGTGCAAGTTTGATAGGTACTCGATAAATGAATTTAATAGATTGTCGGGATTCTGTCTATCAGTTCATACTTTACTGCCTAGTGCCTAGTTATTCAATACAATATCCTCCAACTAGTCCCACATTCCACAACCTCGCGAATCAAGTAGTCCAGTTGGGTAAAATTCTTCTTATGGTCAAGGCCGTATGTTGGGTGAACTGGTGATAGCAGTTGCTATAGCAACTTTTTGCTTTCGTGACATTCCCTATTTCCCTTTACAATACGAGGAAGAAAGCTGAACGGTGAGATGAGAATGTACCAACCGATCTCGCTCGATCATTGTTTCTCTCTTCTCTGTCTTGGTTGCGCCGCCAGCATGCATCAGGAAATGCAATAATTTAAATAACGTATAGCTAAATTAGATAGGTACCTATTATTATATAATCCCGAATTAAATTGTTACGGAATGTAAACGCCTAAACAGTTGTAAATGTAAATACATGTTAAAAAGAGAAAAAAAACGATTAGTTGGCGCATTTGTGTTCCCACGTTGCACTCGGTCACTGGATGCACGAACTTGACGTCACACATTCCAAAGCGATCCCCTTACCTCGTCGGCCCCCCTTGACATAGATCAACCACCTCGTCAATGGAAGTTCACTTCTGTCGTGTTGCATAATCAATTTAAATGAAATCTTTTCGAATAATTGAACACCTGCAACGCCATCCTTGATTGCTTTACAGTAAACTTCTAGCATTGAATAGTCGAAACATCGTGGCCTTGATTCCGACGATGTTATTGACCTATACTGTTGCGACCGGATAATATTATTTTATTATTATTCATTTTTATGAGAGAATGAGAACCTACTTGTACTGTTCGTGTTTAAAAAACCCCTTCATTTTCTATACTTCGGAAACTGGAAGACTTCCGGTCGCCGCCACGCCCAGCTGATATTCGGCTTACGTCATTAGCGTCGAGACGCTCGATACGCAACCCGCAGTTCTGACGTCGCGGGGTGAATATCCTACGCTAAAAGTCTGGCGTACGTGCCGTTTATCACCGCTTCCTTTTTTAATGCTTATAGCAAAAAGACACCGAAAATTAAAATTATTACAAGAATGGCATTTTTAGCATTCCACGTTGCATTATAAGTTCACGTTGGCTATTTATAGAACTTGCGTTACAAGTTTTTCTTTTTTGCAACTGACCGAGAGCGTGAGGCTACATGTTTTTTATTACATTACAGGCTGCCATATTGCAACAGACGGCCGAGTATATTTACTCACTGGAACAAGAAAAGACCCGATTACTGTCACAAAATTGCCAATTAAAGAGATTGGTAAATCAGCACGAGGTTGGCGAACTTCCTCCAAAAAAGCGCAAGACCGAAGTGATTATACCAACGATATCCGATACCAACGAGGAATGCCTGGAACCGATGACGACACCTGAACCTACTGTTGGTATCTTATCCGTAGCCGTGGTCGATGGCGATTCTCCCGCCGAATTGAGGAGACAGCTTGATCAGGAGCGTGGCGTACGCATTCTTCTTGAGGAACAAATACGACAGCTCGAAGGACAGCTTTACCAACAGCAAGTTTATCAAATGTCATCTCCTGAGGATCCAGAAGATATTTCCCTTCAGGTATGAATTAATGATCATTGTACTGGGTGAAGCAAGCGTATTTTCTTATCACTTTTTTGGTACTCATCCATTTCAATGCATTTGTCGTTTTCCTCTGTTGCTAGCAAATTGTCAGGAACAATGATGCATTCCGTCTGACCATACCGCGAATTTTACACACTTGTTTGTATGATTCTTAGCATTCCGACTGCTATTTTTCCTGATGCACCTTGTATTTACTATGTGGCAATGGTGCCATGTACTGTATGGTAAATGTTCCACTTTTTATGGACTCAGTGACACATGAATTAAGTAATGCACACCCTATGAAACACTCCGGAGAGGGTGGGGGGCGGTGGCATTCAATTTTTTCAGATGAGAATAAGAATTGTATCTCCAGAGATACGCGATCAGAACCGCTCTGTGTCGGACGCTCAATTATTTAAGCCCCATGCTCAGTTCCAAGACTGAAATTTTCAAACCTCACTTTGCCTCATTTAACAAGACGGGTGCCACTGTTGAAACGTACATTATAGTGCACAATTAGCACTGCGGTAGTTGAAGTTGCAGTACACTTTTATACCCAATGCAAGAAGTCAGCCACTTTACCTTTCAACGTGAGAATTTGAACAGAGCGAATTTTTGTTGAGAATTTTATTTAATTTGAATGAATTCATAATTTTTCTGAATTTTTCCTAAGATGCTACGTTTAGATAAACACCCAGTTCCCAATTTCGTAAAAAAAGATCATGTGAAATTGGCTTTCAAGAGTGTTTGATGCTCTGTCTCTTTTTTCCAAGGAAAATGTAAAAGTACCATAACATTTTATATGTTCCAACGGACCCTACTGTCGGGAATGTAGCGAACCCACTCGCCTTAGGTGCCCTCCGATCTTAGTCCTTATTTCCAAGTTTTGGTTCTGAAAAAGGTAAAGGCATTTTTCTTAAATTGTTACTATGTACACGGTGTTACGTAATTCGCGCCCACGGACAATGGGGGTTTAATTGAGACAAAACTGAATAGAAAGCCTTTTTGCGATCAGAGAATTTAAGATAGGAGAGTTGCAAACAAAAATGAGAAAGAGAAGAAGAATTATTTTTATTTCATTGCCTCTACACGTGTTTGGACATGTTTAATAACATTATTTATTATTTCTGGAAGAAAAGCTTCATTGTCCGTGGGGGGAATGTCGTAACACCTGGTAGACCTGCTAGCATAGCGTGATATTGCATATATTGATAATAAATATAGCTAGAATATTTTTGTAATATGCAATGATGTCTACAGCATATCGCATGTATGTTGCATAGGTTACAACTGGATGTCCTATGGATATCTGGAATGGTTCATAGCATAGGTATACCATGTATATTCCCACAAAGGATTTCTAACATACCTGCTATTTTTCCCATCCAGTTTTTACATCTCGCTAACAAATAAACTAAACAAATATAGAAAACGAGCTCCTGGGTATGGCTATAGCATGTGCAAAACCAAACTTTAAACCTGGTGTTAGTTTTGCTTTTATTTAAAGTGTATATGTATGAAATTTCATTTAATTGCTTCCACAAATAAGAAAGTTGGCACTGCACATCCTACACAAAACCAAATTTGGAAATTGGCGCTACATTTGCTTTTATTCCCAGTGGCTATGTATCATATTTCAATTGAATGCCTCTATTTATGGAGGCATTCAAATGAAAGTTGAATGAAAATTGCCTTTTTTGCATGGCCACCTGAGCCACCTCACTATTATGTAAATTACATATAACTTATTTAAGATTAGAATATAAAAACCAGGAAAACCAAGATATTTCGATAACTATCAGAGATAGGTATAGGACATTAATATCAAAAGTTGAAGGTTTTTGAAGGAGCTAAAAGATGACAGAAAAATATACAGGGTGTTCCATTTAAAAAAAGTAAGATTTATTAAAATGATGTTTTGTAACTTTGGACCAATAAAAAACACCCTGTAAGCTATTTTTTTAATGTTTCATAGTATATGTATTTATTTGACTTTTACTTAACCCAGGATAAAAGATATAAAACCTGGAATCAATTCAATGCTTTTCTAAATAAGAAAGTTGGAACTGCGCATGCGCAAACTTAAATTTTAAAACTAATGTTAGATTTTCCTTTGTTCCAAGCCCCAAAGTATCAACTTTCACTTAAATGCTTCCATAGATAAAAAAAAGTTGGCACTGCGCATGGGCAAAATAAAATTTTTAAACTAGCGCTAGATTTTCCTTTATTCCAAGCACCTATGTATCAGATTTCATTCAAATACTTTTATAAGAAAAAAAAGTTTGCAATTCGGTTTATAAATGGTCCAGATGCGAAAAGGGCACTGTGAATTTTGAATCGATTCGACTCAACTTTTGGCATTACATATTATATGGCTAAATCTATGCCCATATTGAATTTCATGCAATTCAGTTCATAACTAACGGAGATGTAAAAGCGATCGGACATTTCTAAACAAAATTATCGTTCACACGGACAGATAGAGGGACCGACAGGCAAAGGAACAGACTGACAGACCAACAGACAGACGACAGACAACAATACAAAATTATAAATGATCTCTAGGATGGTTCATAAACGGCAAAAGTGTAAAATTATGGAACATGTAAAAACGGTTTGTTGGTTTTTTTTACAATAACTTTTTTAGCAATAAACGCAGAAAAAATTCCTTCCTTGGTGCAAGCCTCGATACCATAACGAACCAAATAGCGAAAAAAGTAGAACAATAGCTCTTAAGATAAAGAACTAGTAGCGTCGCAAAACGAGCGGACGGACGGACAAAGTGGCCACAATAGCGCATTTTTTTTTATTTTTGTGGAAAAAGACGTACACGTAGAATTCAAAAATGCATTCAAATACAGGGAGTTCTATTTAAAAAATGTACCATTTTGGCGCTCTACTTTGTGGGCGCACCCTGTATAATTCCAAATATTTTTAAAATGTGGAGAATATTCAACCATATCATAATACAATCTTATCAAAAAATCTTATCTTCATGGCATTAAGTTACTCCGTGCAATCGTTGACTCACCCTGTACATAAAAGGTACATACAATGCACGTGATACTCCTTGTGTGGCTCAGTGGTAGAACGTTGGGCTACTTGGCTGGGAGGTCGGGGTGTTTGAACCTGGGTTGAGGTGAATTTTTCATCTGTGACAGAGATGGGAATTTCCTTAGATCAGTTTCGAGGCTTCTGTCGGCTACCCCGAATTAGGTTTTCCTGCAGTTTTCCTAATTCGTAAGGTAAATTTCTGAGTAGTATAGATCAACTTCTGGAGGGGTAAAAAGCATTATGCGGGTCACTCTGTAATTGGGCGAAAGCCTATTGAGGGCTCCAGAAAAAGAGAGGGACAATAAATAAATATTTTATACTTTGTGTACCTAAACATCCATACTGGACAAAAAATACTTATGTCCATGATGAATGTACATAGTGGATAGATGAAAATGAATGTGTTGAAAGAGTCTAGGCAAGACGCACAACTTTCTATAGCGATAGTTTTGACGCACCCTGTGAATAGAAATATTAAATTTTATTTGATAATTAAAAGATTTTCCCTGTAAAAAAACTGGATGGACCCAACTTCACCCTCAACTTTTATTTATCGAAATATTGAGCACACACAGTGTTGTGCTGTTAAATGACAGACATACAGTATCTCAAGTTCCTTCGCTGTTCCTAAAAAAGAAGTGTGAAGTTAGCCCCGCCCATAGATAAAACCACATGTGACTATTAGTGTCCTACGTTAGTGCTATTTTGTACTAAAAGATTACGATTCCAACGTTTTTCATTTTCGAGAAAAACAAAAAATACTAAAATATTGTGTGAACTAAATCGCAAAAAATCACTGTAATTATAACACAGAATTGTAATGTGCTTCCTCACTGTTTTTTTCAATTTTTTTTCTTAACTTTTTGGAAATAAAAAACGTTAACACTCGCAATATTTGAGCAACAAAGAGCACGAACTATAGTACGTGTGTTTTTTTTAAAAACGAGGCAAAAATGGGCGAACTTCACACAATATTTTACTATTTTTTTTGTTTTTCTCAGAAACGAAAAACGTTGGAAACGTAATCTTTGAGCACAGAACAGCACTAACGTAACACTAAGGATCATATGTGCGTTTCTTTAAAAGCCAGTGTCTCCAACTTGACAAAATATTTTTGTTTTTTTTTGTTTTTATTGAATAGATGAACTGCGGGAATCTCTTTTGAGCACAAAATAGCACTAAAGTAGCACTAGTAATGACATGTGGTTTCATCTAATTAAAAATTATTTCGATAAGTTCCCATTTTTTTTCTCTTGTTATGTAGCAGTACTAACATAGCACTAACTTTGGACACATTTTTTTCAAACTATTTAATGTGGGCGGGGCCAACTTCACATGGATGTATCCTGTCCAATGTTACCAATTGCTAGTCCTACCGCCCCTTTCAAAATCACTCCTCAAAATCAAAAATTAAGAAGCAATCTATTCTTCACAATGATAGTAACACACTTGCTATAAAAAAAAACAATACATTCTATCAATTTTATCCACTAAACTAATAAGTAGTTTTATAATGTAGGCATTGTATGTGTAATAAGATACAAAACTTCCCATCCTCAAGTGTCATACAACAAAAGCCATTTGTGCATCATTGTTCCTTATCCAGTGGCATTACTGTAACCTTTAAAATACATTGGTAAGATATTTTCCAATATGCATTTCCAGGTTGTTACGGCAGACAGTTTACCACCAATTGGACACACACAAACCGTAGTCTGCTCGGAACCACCTTCAAGAACCCCCAGTCCCGAACCGACCCCAGAGCAAAGGCTACCGTCGGTATTAGAAGCTGCGATTAAGGCGGAACCGAAAGTTGAAGTCGAACGTCTCCCCTCACCCAACCCTTCTCCCAATGAAGAAACCACCTCCAGTCGAATTTACATCCCCAACACCTCCCGTCAGAATCTGGAAACGATAGTCGAAGCCATTCGTCATTTAGAAGGCGATCACATGTTCGCAGAGGAACCTCAAAATACGCAAGACGTACCGTTGGCGCTTACGACGTCGCGAACCTCCGATCGTCTCCTCAAGGTGGAAATGAATCAGTTTTTGGAATTCCACACGCCGTGCATACAGGTGCAGCAGCAGTCGCGTCCCGGCGTCATCGTCGTGAAGCAAGCGTCGTGATTTCGTTGAAATACATCAATAGCAAATATAATCGACTAGAATCTAGAGTAGCGTTCGGGGGGGATTCGCCCTCCCTCTTGATGGTTTTGTTTTTAGTCCTCTTGGCTCCGAATCTCAATAATTTTCGAACAAAATTTTGTGAAAGTAAAGCTAAATAAACACAGCTAGCCTGGGAATATTAGTATATTTTGAAGTTGTGCCTGGACTGCAATTATCAGGAAAAATTCGGATAGAGCTTAATGAGAGTATGTTTTAAAATAAGACAGTTTTACTTGACTTTGGTTAGTTTTACAGAAAATTGTGCGATTGCATCACACGACAAGAGAGAGGATGAACTAAAAATTGTTCTACAACGTCCTAATATGATACAGATTATTAAGAATTGCAATGAAACTTCAGGAAAAATTGCTCAATGTAATTCCAAATATTATACAGGCTTATTACCACCCGCACGTTACTAAAGGGAGGTATTGCATTGGGGTAAAAATGCCCCCCCCCCCACTGTTTTTATTTTTGAAATATTTAGAAAAAATTGAAATTAGAAATTTCTGGTAAACTGACTTCCATGTAGTACATATTTATCATTAGATCTAGTAACCTTGCCCAATATAAACAACGCTGTATATCTTTTAGGGTAACTGAGATTCATGCAACAGTTTGTTAAACAAAAAAAGAGAAACTGCACCATTGTCCTATTTTAAAACAAATCTCAAAGCTTTATCCGAGCTTGACGTATCGTATCAATCTTCAATTCCGCATTGGAGTTTATTATTCCCGAGTTAAACGTTGAAGACGTTATCTTAGTCAAATTGTAAGTAAATAAGGGTCGGAACAATCGTAGAAAATTGTAGGTAATGTGTCTATGTAGCTTTATTAATGACGTTTTTAATTTTACTTTTGATACAATTAGAATTTCATTTTATTTAATATGCCAAAAATGATATTTATTATAAAGTGTAAGGTAGTGTAACGTTTCGTTCCTTTTTGTACATAATATATATTACTTTACGGTAGATGTGTAGATTTAATAATATGTAGTTTTTAACACTCTCGATATATATACATATAATTTGGGTGTTGTTCGGTTTCGCTTCTTTGTTTGTTGTTTTTTATTCTAAGAATAAGTTTTATTGTGTACAGATACACATTTTGGTATACGTATAATTATGTTTGAGAATATAATTGTTTTCGTTATGTATGTTAGAAGGGTAGGTAAGGTTTCGGTTACGAAGTGCGCAGGAATATGTGTACGATATCTGCGGAATGCTTTTAGATTTATGAATGTAAGGAAAGGGTATTTATCTGCCGGAATGTGAATGCGTGTATACCTGCTTGTGCTACATTTATGAATTACGAAAGGCAAATTTAATAGTTCCATTGTTTGTGGGACAGTACTGATCATTGCGTGTAAGTATTTTAAAGGGGAATCTTTGGTAGAACAAAATTTAGTTGTTTATTTGTGATTTTGTGAAATAGGCGAATAATTATATGTGGAACTTTTTTTAATATAATGTTAGGCACTTCTCAAGTTTGTATTGTTATGCAAGTTATCGGTGTATTTTATACCAATATGGGATCAAAACACTCGGTTCTCTATTAGAAAATTGAAATTTACTCTAAATGTGTCCTAAGTCATTTTATTTGTTTCTTATTGATCGAGGCTAAGATGAAGACTGAGTGTTTCAGGAAGGTCAATATCCGCGTTTTATTTGCTTCAGTTTCTTAAATTAGTTCCCATTTGTTACTGTGATTATATTTATAAATAAAATTGATAACTATTGTACTACTAGTAACTTAGATTTTGCATTTTAGGCGTTATGACGTGGCTCTATAGAGATCAACAGCTGTATACTATACCTACATTCTTTTTTAACCACTCGTGTATAGAACCAACTCTTATTCTTCCATCATAAATTCCTAAATGTACTAGCTTTTTACTTCTTTGCTTTATTTCATAATGTTCTTATGATGGTAAAATAAGACTAATTAATAGTAATACCAAATTTTTTTCAAATCGATATGTAGTTTGGCGTTATATTTTATTTCTTCATATTAAAGCTATTTACTGATTGGGTCTTTTAATCGGGGCACAACTAAAAACATTATTTCTTTACAAACAGTTTCTGACTTAAATAGTACAAGATCAACCACATTTTTTTAGCAATCTTATTATGTAAAAAAACAAATGTATGTACGTTAATGAGGAAGATGTTTACTGCAGAAGCAGGAATTTCGAAACGAGTAACGTAAACTATTGAACATACAAATAATAGAAAACGTTTTATTACATACTGCTCTTTTCTATTCAAATAATATACAATTTTTGATTAGAATGTTGTACAAGGTATCATTAACAAAGGTCCGGTCTTTTCTATGGATGTACAGCTTAAGCAAAATGATTTTGTATGAAACAACTTTCCTCTCTAAAAAAAAGTGTTTTCCTGTAGTGAGGAAAGTAAAAAAACAATTGCTGCGTTAATCTTAATAATGACAATTGAAACATATGCTCCTATCTAGATGGCTATGTGTCAAACTTCATTATTACAGATGATAATTTTTCAATTTTAATTGTAGTTTAAGAAAAAATTGTGTGTAAAACTTGCTCATGTGTCAAACTTTGAACTGCAGGTTTTCTTGAAAATTTCAAATGGACCGTGTAATTTATTATTATATGATATTATATAACACGAAAAAGTGAAAATATTGGTGAAAACCGCATTTTGATATCTGTTACCCAAGCACAGATATGGCGAAAATTCACAATTTTCAATTGCAATATTCATCCAAGTAGACTTTGAACCAAAAAAACACAATGCCACAAAAAAATACTAGGCAGAGACTTCATCTCTGTATAGAAAATGAGAAGATTTACAATAACTATTGTTACTTTTCTGTACCCATAGGTCTGTGGGGTGGAGGGGTAGGTATTTTCCAGAGACATTCGATTTTCATAACAGAGTCAACAAAGTCAGTTGTCAAATGCACAGCCTATGTTTTTTTACGATATTTGAAAAGAGCAATCAATTTTCTGTATGACCACAAATAATATGCATATGGCATATACAAAAAAATGGAGAATTCGTGATTCAATATTTAGAAAATTTATGAAATCTAGCATGCCGTGTGCCATATTCAGAAAGGACCTATAGACTTGTTCAATGTTTTGTTTTTAAGATCAACCACATGCATATTTTATGTTTTCGTACTGAAAATTGATTGCTTCATGGCATTTGAAAAACAATAAGAGTAGCATCAATTTTCGGTTACACGATATTGAGGCGATCTTCTGATCTCGAACGCACTGTATACCAGTCAGTAACATCAAATACGCTTCCGATTGAATTAGGTGTGCCACACAGGGCTCAATATTAGGACCAATATTATGTTTCTAATCTTTATCAACAATTTACCTTAAGCAATAGGTGGGTGCATTATGGATTCTATATGCAGATGACGCAACCAGAGCTGGGTAAAGCCCTCTTGAAAAGGGCTTGAAGCACCAAGCACTTTGTTTTGATAAAAGTGCTTGCAAGCCCTAAGCACTTTTATGTGATGAAAGAGCTTGGAATTACCAAGCACTTTCTAAAGTAATTGAAAATACAAAGCACCAAGCCCTTGGAAAGTGCTTGAAGCCATTTAAAGTGCTTGAAGCACTTCGAAAGTGCTTGAATCACAGTAATTGACAATATAAATTAATATAAATATAAACAATATAAAGCACCTTTCATAAAACTGGAAACACTTTAAAAAACACGCTAGAAACAGTACTTCCGCATCGTAATTATAATGGAGGAATTAGTGGTTTTATCGCTAAAGTTTTGCTTGTCCAAATTATTCGTTTAAAACGATTAGGTAAACAAAAAAATGCTATCTGTACAGTACTCTCCCCGTAACCATGGGGAATGTAGAAGTAAGAACTGCATGTGCTATAAAAGTAGGTACTACAAGAAAAAAATGGGATGTGCAGACGGCAGACTAATCGACTAATGAAGCACAGAACACGTAGGTAACGTCAGAGTAGGAGTGAAGGAAGAGCTTCGGTATGAAAGTGCTTGAAGCTCTTTAGTGTTTGTAAGTGCTTGAAACCCTTAAAAAGTGCTTGAAGTTCTTTGAAAGTGCTTTAAGCTCTTTGAAAATGCTTGAAGCTCTTATAAGTGCTTGAAGCTCTTTATAAGTGTTTGAAGCTCTTTATAAGTGCTTCAAGCCCTTGAAAAGTGCTTGAAGCTCTTTAGAAGTGCTCGAAATTGTATGAAAGTGCTTCAAGCACTTCAATAGGGCGTGAAGCCCCAAGCACTTTTAAAAAGTGCTTGGTACTTGAAGCACTTCTTTAAGTGGCCTTTGATACTTTGTCCCTAACAAATGCGTTGTCATTATGCCAAGACAGTATTCCAAAAGGTATTAATAATGCGTGCATACTATGAAAAAATTCATAGCATCATCTACATAATATTTTATGTTGCGGCATTAATACAAAATTAAGAATAAACCGTATATATCTAGATTGCTATGTGTCAAACTCATTATTGAATTTTATTATTCAAGTCAACAATTTTGCATGTACTTGTGATATTTTGTATTGTTTATTTAAACATTTGAATTGTGGGTGGCCAAACCTAAGCCGGCCCTGTCTTTAGCTGTGCGTATCAATTCGACCGTGAGGACCGGGCAGTGGGGGAACTTGACCATTCCGAATTGTATTCTAAGTACAATAATAATCCACCAAGAAAAAGGTGTACGTATTCTAGGAAAAGTTGAAATAGATCGTGTACATTTTTTGACCAATTTATTTTAATTACGGTCCACTATCGTATACACTACCAACCTACTTCACTAAAAATCAGTTGCCTTGGTGTTTATATATTGTAATTGTGGCAGCACTGTGTGCTTTAAACAAAAGTGCATACAAATTGTACCGTGTTGCTGTCGGACGGATCAGAGATCAAGAAAAGACAATTATTTTCCAGTTAGCTTTTGACATGATTTTACGATATTTCCCTCTATCATAGCAGTATAATAAAGGATTTCGCAATCTTGTCAGTCAATTGCAGTTGAAAGTGCATATTCCTAACGTAATAAATAAATGTAAATAAGCGCTATTTCTAATAAAAGGTCTGCCATGATGAATTGAAGCGTACGCGAATATTCTATCAAATTTGTATTAGAATAATTGCGGGTGATTGTTTGTGGGCGAACGGTAACAATTAATTTCTCTAAATAACGAGTTTAGCGATTTTTGTAAAAATAATAAGGGCGGTTAGTCACAGCAACGGTGAAAATTCAACTTGACGTGTTAAAGTTAAATGGCTAACGTATGCACCTTCCATAGTACCTACATTGTTAGAAATTTCTATCGATACGTTTCTGGTATCCGCTGTGAACGCATTTAATTGATTTGATTGCGAAATGTTAAACAAAAAGTCGAGCGACTGCAATTGATATGGGAGTGTCATGTCCGTGTAAAATTTAAATCTTTATTGTCATCTTCATGTTAACCTTGATAAAATGAGGTAGTTGTTAATGCCCTTTCCTTCACTTATCAATTTCGTAAGTATTCATTTCGTCTCAAACATAAAAACGTACATAACCCCACTTTATTTGTAGCCATCAGGATGGTGGTAGATGTATCCACAATAAACAACAAAATGCAACCCACCGGTATGTCACCCCGAGAGCTGTCCGAGTTTGACGATCTGGCCACATCATTAGTTCTCGATCCGCATTTGGGATTCACGACGCATAAAATGAATATTCGATATAGACCCTTAAAGACGAACATAAACGAGCTTCGCAACATCGTCGAGCAGTTCATAAATTTACAGAGCTACGAAAAGACCTACAAGCAAATTTTGGCCGGCGATTGGATGCCACGACCCAAGTCGAAACAGCAACAGAAAAGGTTACAGGAGCATGTAAGTTGACTTTTGTCAGGTCTGTATGTGTTGTAGATTTAGTTTACGCATTGATTAACGTATTCTGGGAGGATAGCCCCTTGGAACATTGTTTTAGAATGGTGGTTGTCATAACTACTTCATTCCGTGCAATTTTTTAGAGCAACTAAATACTAATGACCATTTACACCGACAGCTTAGCTTAAATATGTCTGTGCAAACGGCTATAAGAGGTATCTTGTTGTTTGGTAAAAGTAGAATTAAACAATAACAAACATTTGACAGCATTTTTAGGGTATTTCTTAAAAATACCCTTTTTCAAGTCCCTCCGTATTTGACTATGCTGAATAAAGTGCACACACTTCATTTTGATTATTTACTCACAGTTTCGCAACTATGAATTTCATCTTTAACCTCAAAAGTGAAATGTGTAGTGTTATTAAACAACTGAAGATAATTTACTAGCAATAATTCGTGGAGGAATACGTGACATTTTTCTAAATAGAAATGTATATCAATACAACATAAAAGAAAGGGTAATATGCCTGATGAAGAGTTAAAATGGATTTTTTTTTAAATATGTATTTTTAGTAATGTGGTTTGTCTTCTCGGAATTCCAAAGGAAGTGGTTACTACTGAAAATGAAGTTACTGGTAAGGAATTGATTATAGGAATAGTCATTTAGTGTAGTGTTTCAGGTTGCATACTGTCAAAACAGAAACTATGACTTCCACTGCCAGTTCTGCATCCAGATGGTGTTAAGAGTCACCTTAAAGGGCGCTTACCATGCTACAGTTTCTCAGGAATCGATTATATGACGGAACAAAAAGCTGTGTTTGGCCAAATTTTGTCTTTATGATCAATATGATCATCAAGCATGGAACTACAGCTCACTCAGGGTTGCTACTCAAGATGGAACCAAAGCTCTCACGATTAAACCTTTTGAGATAGAGACATGAACATTATTTCACATATTTTAAGGTTTGTTTGACATATGGTCGCCATCTTGAATTTCTTTAAATGGCAACATGGGTCATGTGATACGTCATTAGAAAGCTTATTTTTTCCCTTTCATACTATCCTAATTATGAATGGTGTTAAATTAGCAAATAGTGTAGAAAAAAATTTCACAAAATTAAGATTTATTTTTCATGTAATAGAATAGTTTTATAAGGAAACAAACCATATGTATAGTGTCTTTGTAACTTATTGAACATCTGCCCATTGTTTTCTGTTAATTTTTGACGTTCTGTTAATTTAAAGGGATCTAAATTTAATGTGCAAGTCAAGCGTATGGCAAGGCTTTCTGCATTTTTTCTAATTTAACACTAAATGTTTATGGTAGTAAGAATGAGAAAAAAATAAGCTTTCTAATGAGATATCACATGACCTATTTTGCTATTTAAAAAAATTCAAGATGGGGGTTGTACTGAAAAACCATGTTAAAATAATTTCAATGTCTATATCTCACGGTTTGAGCGTGAGAGCTTTGGTTCAGGCTCTGTATAATAATTATTCATAGGTCCTGTAGCAGCTTGTTGAATAGTCACTTTTTCTTACTTGTTTACGAGAATGTTAAAATAATAATAATAGTCCCGGTCATATCTGCAATGAATTTACAAATTCAGTGGGCGTCTTTACCGGGGGGATAAGGGGATTATCCCCCACCCCTAGAAGAATTGATTTATCATAATATAATAATAATAATATTTATTATACCGTTATCCGTGTGGGTACACTTACGGTCGTCATTGGAAAAAAAAATATTACAAACAAAATACAAAGATACATTCAGAGACTAACTAACAGAAGAGGATAACAGAGTACAATTTTACATATTATATCGCATAACAGTTTTTCATGAACTCTTCCTGACAATAAAAGGCATGTTTTGAAAGAAATGTTTTGAGGCGTGACTTAAGAGCTCCAATGGGCATAGATCTTATATTATTAGGAAGGCTGTTGTATAGAAGTTGAGATTGGTGGACTACACCATCCTGTGTTT